GAAGAGCTGATGCACTGGAGCCACATGACAATGCTACTACCTTCTGCTCTCCACATGCTCTGGGCCGCTTTTATTTGACCTTTTCTATTCTATAGCAGAAAAAAAAAATCCACTTCTCTACAGAATTAACAGAAAGTCAGCACAGCGATTGTGAAAAAGAAAACCGACAAACTGCCAGAAAACACTGTCGCTCCGAATGATGTCACAGATCATGTGAGACTCCGAGGAATTTTAACCTCACTGTACAGGGCTGTGGGATTTTTCATTCTTTCTCTCTTTTGCAAGGCTTCATTCATCTTATAACTGCTTTTATTTTATTATTCCAATGATTTGCAGTTTAAGAGACACCAAAAAACACTTGTATTTCCAACTGCTGGGTCATTTAAGTTTGACTATGGTTTCATGGACTGCCTTTCTAAGGCTAATGGTCCGTGTTGAGACTTCATAATCATACATACATAAGTAGACTTGTTGCTGACGGCCCTAATTTTGAGGTCCATGGCAGTAATTATCAGATGAGATATGCCTGTCAGAACATGGACAAGTGCATAACATACAAGCGCAGCTAAGCCTACCCTGTGCCCCCCCTCCGGCCCAAACCCTCGCAGTCCACTTCTCATTCTGACCGGCAAAGCACTCTGAGACTTCCACCCCCTGAAATAGCAAACTCCCTCTGCTATATTTAAAAGGGATTTACACGGCATGAAATTGTCTCAAGTGCCCTGTCATTTGTCGTGGAACTGCGGGGTGGGTCATTTTGACGGGTTTTTAATTAAGTCCCTCTCCCGGTGACTGACACCTAAGTGCTGTCACTCAGCAGTCCGAGAATCTAAGCACTTTAAGCGTCACGATCGAACATAAGAGGGAGATGAAGAAGAGACACGGCTTTTGCAGCGGACAGGCCACCTACGACGGCTAATTAGGCGGCGGAGCATGACGGACGTCCCTGTGTGACCTTCAGGGCTTATTACAGCAATCATTTCATTGTCACCGAGATGCCGCTCTGCTGTGCCTCAGTGGATGCTCTGGGCCCGTAAAATCATCATTAATAAATTACACATATTGCATTACATCTCATGAACTGTAAGGCAAAATGATTTGTCATTATGGGTGACAAATTCTTCGTCTGGAGTTGTATTCTGTATCAGAAAAGGCGGCGTGCTCCTGATTATTTTAAACACCATCCAGTATAGGAAAAAACATAAATTTACATCTCTGTTGTCTTTCAATTATTGTATGCAAAAGCCACAGGTACAATGGTAAAATCATACCGGCCAAGCACTGATAGCCATTATGACATCATAAAGACCTTATTGCATCATCATGTATCTTTTATATGCAAGTTTTCCCCATACAAGTTTAGTCAAAATCATTTGTGTACTTTTGGATCTCATTTTAATCTGAACTTCACACAGATATCAGGCCAGTCTAAAAACAGAAAAAGCTGATATATGTAATACACACATCATGTTGCCATGGAAACAAGTTGTTAAGCACAGATTTTTAAGAGTGTGTTTACATTTGCAGCAGTCGCTATTTCATAGCATCTTTTAATGACAGCATGTGCAACATATAAACGGCAATTAATGGTGCTTCTTAAGCTAAAGTCTATTAAATCACTATACAGAAATTCTCAAATGAAAAGAACCATAACAAAAAGGCTTGTTTTAATTAGCTTGTTTTAACTCACAACGTTATGAAGAACACAATAATTCACGAATGGTGCACACAACACTTCTATAGTAGGGCCCATTGTTTTCTGTTATTTTCATTATTGTTTTTCTTGTGTTTTACAGAAAACTTTGTGTAACAGACTGTACAACAGTCTGCAAAAAAATACTACTATTACTTTTCTATGGTTTATGTCAGTTTTCAATGTACTGGATGATTAGATGATTAGATGATTTTAATTTGACATTTCAATCAGCAAAACACCCTTCGGCTACAATGCATCAACACAGTATAAAATTAACATGTTGCAACAGCCACATAGAGGTGTATAGCTTGTTCACCTTGCAACTCCCCCTAGTGGAGAGAATGTTAGGCTGCAGCCTAAGTCTGACAAGGCAATACATGTAATTGACATGATAGTATTTGTATGGGAAATACAGGAAATGAAAACACATTACATTGTAAATACGCACTTAAACTGAATGAGTGTCCGAAATGATGTCAGTCAGATGTATTCATGTTTCATTAAAATACAGAGGGGCTTCTGATCATTTCAAAGACTAACTCTTCAGAGAAATTTGGAAATTGCACTTAAATGTGCTTTTTTTTGATCCGTGATAATGAAGCTTGTAACCGAAGGTATTTCTGTTAGCATTTAGCGACCGGGGAAACAGAGCTATCAGTGTGAATGGATCTGTGCCACTTTGCCCTTGAGCAAGATTTCAACAAAGAATGGAGAGTTGCGTTTTTGGATCTGCCCCACGAGCCGAATGAAAGCTTCCTATAAATATTTCACACGCTGTTCAATGCGACGTCAGCTGCACATGCCATCCCAGCGCCGCCCCCACTCTCTAAGAGGGGGCCAACATACAACACGACTCCCCACCCAAGAAGAACCCAAAGAAACGTCGCTGTGTGGCCGAGCATCGTCACTCCACCCTATGGAAAACGGGACGGCACCGTTACAGGCAATAGCTACGTTCTATCTGTTTGTAACTCGACAGAACCCAGCCATGGCAACCATAATATTCCAGAGCACAAGAATAGTAGAGAAAGAAAACAAGGCAAATTGTTAATCAGCTGATACGATAAATAAAATATTTTATAACCCTCTGAACGTTGATATTAAAGATCAAGCAGTAATGTGTTTTACCAAAGTTAATAGAATCAAATATTTTAATGATCTCAATTCACCCAATTACTGATACTACCAGAAAAAACATGTACTGTAACAACATAATACAGCATAATGACTCTGAACATGATATGTGGTTGGAAGATGTATTATATGGCATTATCATATTGCATTATGAGTTATTCTTTGTTGCGGGGTCTACCTAAGTGGTTTGTTCCAATGTTCTGCTCCCTGTTATTCATCTCTTGAGAGACTCTGACAGACATTCACCCCACCGAGGTTCCCCACACACCACATGAATTTCTCAATCAACGAAAGGATTGCAAATGGGATTTTGAGAGCTTCACACAGTTTGGGGACACTTCAAATTACAGTCTCCAGCTCTGTGCATGCAAGGAAAACATGAGGCCAGGAAAGAGAAAACTCTCAGTGTATTCCTGTTTTTATAGCGAGGTCCAGCCATAAGCACCAAGCTTTACTGAGTAGCTGTTAACGTTTTTCTACAGACTAAAAAACAGCAGCCGTCCTCCTGATGCACACAAATAATTCCAGGTTCTTACTAATAGCTCGTTTGCTTTCTGTTGTGAGTCACCTGAACCTAGCACCGCTTGAGAAAGTGACCTTCCTTGCGACTTTGTTGTGGCTGCCCCACCAAATAGCCCACCGCTGACACTGTGAGCCCGTTAGGGGCTCTGTGGCAGCCTGACTAACGGGTTTACATTGCCCAACATCACATCCAACCTTGGTTCAGCGCAAAGGGCTTTGAATACATGCCCAGGGCACAAGGGCTCGCAAGGGTAACGGGAACAAACAAAACCACAGAACGCTGCATTTACCTGAGCATGCGGCATGTGAGGTCAGTACCACAGAGGTTATAAATGCAGGACTGTCCCCACTCAGGGGGACCCAAAGGGTTCTGCTCTTAACAGGGAAGCCTATGCAGATGGAGTAGACATCTACATGGAAAACATGTACAAAGCAAATGGAACAGAGGGCCAAATAAGTCAAACAGAGGGAGTGGGAGTTTGTTAGGGAGGAGATGAGGAGGCCCACATCACCGCCCAATCTCTGTGACGCACTTTCAGCGCCACTCTCACTCCCACAGCTTTAACGTGAACGTTTAAGGGAACCGCCTGGGTAAAAAGCTGGTTCGCAAATAATACACACTTTACACCATGAGTTACTTCTGATTGTGATCATTTATTTGATCGCATGCATTGCTATTACTATTGCTATTATTTATATTATTATTATTGATAATCATTTCAGTAATATGAGTTATCTTTAAAATATTCTTATTATCATTTCTCTTTTATATAATTTAATTTGCCCACTTATAAACTACTAACATTTTCAGATAACATTTAAAACCACCAATTATTACATTTATATATTTTCACTGGCTTGTTCAAATATTCATTAATATATAATTGCAATACTTAAAACGAAGGATCACGTGGATACCGCAAAGTTACAGCTTCGACACTTTCAATGGACATTAAAACAATTAGGAGGTTTCATAATGATTATTTTCATAACTACAAATATTAAATGAATTTATGCTTCGGCATCACTAGGGGGTGCTCTTGGTTGAAGCAAACTTTGTTTCTGTCCTCGTGTACTGTATGACCCAGATGTAAATACATTTTTCTTTGAACTTGTTTGTTCATATAACTGTCACTCTCTGAAGCATATTAGGGACGGCGTGCAATGAAACTCAAATGTAATCTGTCATTATACACCACTGTCGGCCATTTTATGACGAGGTTCCTCCTCCTTATTCAATAAACCCCTAATAAACCGTATTTCCAAAAATGCACCATTCGACAGCCTCGTTCTTCGTTTATCTGGGTTCCTCACATTCGGCGCTACTGTTGCATTGTCATCTGATTTTAATGAAACAAAGATTTAATATCACTGGCAACGGGATACGGTAACTAATACCCTTTGGAGCACAGTGTACCTTTAATAAAAGGGTGATTGCCTGTGTGATCAAAGTTACATTTTTAATTCGTATTACCGGATACCCTAAACGATGTCTTATTCCCCAAACCAGCCGTTAAAATTAGCAAATTAAAAAGAAATCGATCTCACATTCTTACAAAACGCCTATCGAATGCGCAAAAGCGCTGCTTTTGCAGAAACCAATACGCTGCTTATCATAGATGAAAGAAGATTGCAAATGAACACTTACCATATTGACTTCAGAGACCATATCTATGCTTGCGATATCTATATTCATCCCCACAGCTACTGGTGCACCTGTAATCCAAGATTGCACACATTATGATTCATGTTATTTTAATATTACCGTTGACAGGTATGTAGCATGCTAATACATTGCAAAGCAGCCCCGCAATTTCTATCGTAAATATGAAATTACTGTCATACTGTCATGTTGTATAAGAGCTATCGTACTTTTAAAATGGTTATACCATATCCCCGCTGTATTGTAGACAACTGATAGGCATCGAATAACGGTAAAACACCCTGCTCTTTGTGTATTAATGCTTGATTTCAGATCCATACTGAAAACGTGATTCTTAAATATTTAAGGCATTTGTGACTCTTCAATGCATGCAATTCATCGCTGGCCCCGTAGAGATACACGTTACATAACACGATATTTGTATTTTAGCTATAATGTTTATAAGCCGGAGTTGCGCTCAGCTGTTATAACTGTTTTTGACATGATTCTCGACCCCAGTAACGCTGCGGTTCGATACTGTCCATTGATCATATATCCGGCCCGATGGTTTTTCACCTCTGCCAGCGTGACTGGAAGGTATGTACACTGAACTTCCACGTGTCCTCACGGATAATAAAGCACAAATTTCAACAAGCACATTTATAATACGGGAAAAACATTCATTTAAAAGCCGTATTAAATAATTTTAATTACCTCCAAAATCTGGCCTCAAGCGAATGTCGTATCCTTTCAACAGTCTATCCACAGTTTCTTTTACCAGTGACATATTGCTAGGGTCATTGACACTAGAGAAAGAAAAAGGAACATTCTTGGGTGAAAATGTTTCACTAAATTAATTCATATATAGTTAAACCTTTCATTATTAAAATGTACAACGTGACCGCTTACCTTTGTGCACAGACAACAGCCACTATCAAAGGAAAAGTCCAGATCCCAAAGTAGCTTCTCCGGCGGATTCTAATGATGGCCATAGTTCAGATATGATTTTATGATTTTATGGTGTGAAGACAGAGCAGACCCAACTTCTTCTGCTCAGTGCTGTAATTCCAATGTGACGCGCATGCGCACACGGCGCCACAACATCGGGGAGTAGCGGCTCTGGGTGCTGATGCTGGAGCAGGTTAAAAGACAATTAAAGGGGAAAGTAGGACTGAAAATAGTTTAAAAATTGACAATTGCTACCATTTACAGCAAAGAGTTCTTTATATTGTTTTTTAAAAAGCTAAAATGTCAGTAATTGTTTTCAGTAGTTATTTTGCTGCCTGCATTTTTCTTAGGCACCATACTTTTCGGCAATAAATATTTCGCTATAAATACGTGTAAAATTCTCGAGTAGTCTAATTTAGTAGATATGCATCGTCATAAACCTAAGTGTAATTCTGTTGCGCTTAAGCAGACGTACGCTAGTATATTTGAATATTTATTTATGCTAATTACACATATCTTGCATTAAATCCATCGGTACTGACGTGAAGGGTGTGTTGGTAGTATTCATATATGTGTAAATCGAAAATAAGCGCATCCGCCTTTATTATGACAAATAATATAGATGGTTGCTGAGTTGCCCTTATCAAAGACAATAAGCTTTTGAAGTGGCTTGTTAAAGGAATCTGCAGCATACCGTACCTTGAAACTAAAGTAACGAATCCTGCATAGGTACCAGATGAATGACAGCAATAACATGTGTAAAAGATGAGCGGTGGCTCTTTTTTAAATAAAATATGGAGTAGTCATTGTTGGGCTTCCCTAAAATTTGAGGATAGTCTAAAATGAAAGGGTTAGTGAAGAGCCCCTTCACATTTGGATGTTTTTTTGATTAGCATAAGGGCAATCATGCATTGAGATGTGCAACAATGGATCACCTTCTTCAGGACCTACTTATTCCAGTCCAATGGTCTTTTGTTGTCGTTTTGTGGTGAGATTCACTCGACGGTCCTGAAGAGCTCTTTGAGAAATATTCAAATACTGCATAGCTGCAAAGGATGCTATTTGCTTTGATCAGAGTAAGATACCATGAGCACCCAGAGATCGCAGAGCAAATACAGTGTCATTTGCTGGGTGACATAAACCTTCAAGCCTTAAACACCAAATTATTCACTGAACGAAGAAGAAATGAAATGAGGCGTAAGATCTGGTTGACTGTGACCTAAAAATTCTATATACTTACCTTGATATTTATCTACATCGCCTGCAGCATTTATGCACATATTTTAATAGCAACACTCAACAATCAAGTAATAGTGAACAAATAACAGCAAGAGCATCAAAGGGTCACACCTTACAGGTCCATCCATTCCCACTGAGATTCTGGAAAGACAGAATCTTAAATTCGTCAGTGCATTAATTATGAATAATAATAAGGACATAAAAAGATTAAAATGTTTACCTCATTATGTGCTAATATAAAACATAGATTTAGCATTCCGTTTTAATAAGCTTGAAAAATGCCAAACATATCATATTAACGACTGAATTTGCCATCATTCATTTTGTATTCAGGTTAGTATCTAAGAAAGTGCACTTTGTAGTATGATTTTTATAGACCCCACATAGTCCACCATTTATTTACCTGCATTCAGCCTTTGTTGGTGCGCTCTGTTGCAAAATTCAATGTAATATCAATTTTTTTCCATCTGAATTTCCTCTTCAGCACCCACAGATAGGACGCTGAAAAAAAAGTTGATCAAAGAATCAAGAATCCCAGTTAATGTTTTATGTGCTTTCGTGTAATTTAATGTGGGGAAATAATTGACAAGCCAATGAAATATAGGTTGTGGGGTTTTACTGCAGTGGTTATCCACCAGAACAGAATAAAAGTCAGAGATTTCACACTGCCTACTGATACTGAAAGACCAGCTGTCACTGGGATGTACTGGTGGCCTTTATTAGAAAAAGTCAGTTTGCTTTTTCTTTTGAGATTCATTGTTGGTCACAAGGATCTGTCATAAATATTCAATGCTGACGTTGCAAAATGTGGGAAATTCACTGAGTTAAGTATTGGTTAGATGGACAGTTTGCTTTTTTTGTTTTTACTCTTTTTTTCCAAGTGTGTTGCCATGGCACCCTGAACTGGTGCTGTTTGTATGTGAGGTCTCTACGGAATGGCTGTTATGTTTGCATCCTCGTTTGACTTCTGTGAGGAATTCATGATGCAAGATTAGCTGTAAATCAAGAAATCTTCCATGTAAATGTCAAATACCATCAGTTTTCTTTTTGTCATATAGTGTCTTATGCAGTGAGTTTTGCAGATATGTTTTTGGTGTAGCAACATGACTAATGGTATGAAGTTCAGTTATATAAACTATCTCTGTTTTTTTTGTATAATCTTCATCAATCCCATTTGGGAATATAAATATATACTCACACATTTCAAGGATAAAGATCTTGCCGGTAGTGATGGAATTAATTGTTGCAATGCTCACATCTACTCACTATCTCACTATCAACTTGTGTGAAAAATATGGTTCCATAGACACGTGACATCAGTCTCAGGAACCAATGGTCTGAATCCTGTAATTCTGCAGATTCCCTGAGTCATTCAGACATATATGTCAAGGGGGTCACACTAAAACGTCCTGAGGAATTTTGTCTCCTAAAATTTTTCTGAAATGCGTAATTCATATTCGGGAGCACTTGATAAACACTGGTATTTACTTACTTACTTACTTACATTTTTACTTACTTTTTTAATGGGTTCTATCTGAATCAGAGATCATAAGCACTCAAAGTTTACATGCTTTGTAATGTAATTCCACATTTAATTGCATAAAAATTAATTTAACATAAGTGCAATGGTATACCTGACATCCTGCACATCGAAAGCACTTTTGTCGTAATTTTGCCCTACAAGGAAAACAACATCCCCTAACTAGAGCCCACTAATTCCCTGCTGACGGATTTCTTCCTTTAATCTTCCACCACGCCACAAGGGATTATTGTCAAAGTCCTCGCTGCCTGTTCCATTTCTTGGACATCACTACTCTAATTGTAAGTTCTAATTCTTCCGAAGCATTTAGGTGAATTGTTAAGCAAACAAATAGACATCTTGCAGCCTTCCAACAAAAGTTTGGATGATTTTGCTCATGATTGGCAATTTTTTCAGGATTTATCCATGGAGCATGTGAAGTGAAAGGGACCTAACTGAGCATGGAGTATAACAGAGGCACAGTGTCCTTGGTCGCTTGGACATTTGTGTTTTGGTGAGTGTTTTATATTACTAAGATCTACTGAAGACACATCTTCAAGTTAATTTTGATATTTCCTCAAATACAACAAATGCTTCCTAGATTATTTAATTTTTAATATTTAAGTTAAAAATAAAGGTACATGCTATGCTATTACATTTCAGTTGTATACAATGTAAGTTGTGCCGCCTGTATTTACAGTTTTAGCAAAGTTTGGGGAGGCCAGCAAATATACTGGGATAACATTACGCAGATTTTGGATGCGCTACTTCACAACTATGACAACAGGCTGAGACCTGGATTTGGAGGTAATATATGACACTGATGAGTCTATTTCGATCACTTCTACCCAGATCAGCTTAAAGACATAGTAAATACCTTGTAGCATTAAAACCTTGTCTTTAACGGAGGACTTAAGGAGACAGTCTGATTGTGGTGTGGGGGCAGAAGACATCTTTGCCCCCACGCCTTTAAAATATTTGTCGTCTCCAGTTTTAAAAACTAAAAACCAGTTTGGAGGCGCATCGGTAGAGCACACTGGAGTACTTGCCAGCCTGACCGATTCTCACAACAGGAAATATTAAACCATATACTCCTCCTCGGTCTCTCAGGTCGGCTGACCAGCTCCTTCTCAGTGTGCCCAGGACTAGTCGGAAGCTGAGGGGATCGGGCCTTTGCGGTGGTAGCACCTAAATTGTGGAATGAGCTGCCTTTATATGTCAGACAAGCATCCTCTACATCTGTTTTTAAATCACTTCTCAAAACACATTTGTTTACTTTGGCCTTTGGTACAGCATGACATGTTGACATTTTTAATTTGTTTCTTGTTATATTTTTTACTTTTATTCTATTTTTATTTTATTATTTTTAGTCTATTTTAATTTTAATGTACTTTAGATGTGATATTAAGTTTATTTTTGGCATTTATTCATATTCTGATACACTTGTAGCACTTTGGTCAACTCCGTTGTGTGAAAGTGCGTTATAAATAAAGTTGCCATTGTCATTGCCAAACCTTTTGTCAATATGCAGTTCCATACTTTTTGAATAAATTAAAAAAAATGTAGTTTAACTTGATAATGAATGTTATTCTGTTAAATCCCACCATGTTTTTGAAACACTTTCAGGTCATGTTGATGAAATCAAAACGGATATCTTTGTGATTAGCTTTGGCCCAGTGTCGGACGTTGAAATGGTAGGTGGCTGCTCATAACTCTTTATCTTTATCCTTAAGTAGAATAAAATCAAATGTTCACAAATAAGCTAGTTCAACTGCGAGACACAAACAATAACTTACTTCACAGTCACCTGTCTCAGATATGCTCGTTTGCCCTGGTGTCTTTGCTGTGGCTTCTGTCATTTAAGGTGGATTAGGAATTTTTATCAGCTTGACACCTAGGGCAAACTATGGTGTTTTATGCGTATCGTGCACTCAAAAGTTAACATTCCTGGCATTCTCCTTAATCAGTTAAAAATTAATGTATTGCTGAAATCTATCAATCTATTTGTATGTTGAATTTTGTCTTTTTAAATCTACAAATGAAACGTTCGGATGCAGCACATGCTCACTCAAACTGTGGACCATTGTAGGAGTACACTATTGATGTTTTCTTCCGTCAAACATGGTTGGATGAGAGACTGAGATTTAATGGGCCCGTTGACGTCCTGCACCTCAACAACCTCATGGTCAACAGGATCTGGACACCAGACACCTTCTTCAGAAATGGAAAGAAGTGTAGAACCCACAGCATGACTTCTCCAAACAAGATGTTTCGCATAATGAAGAATGGAACTGTCCTCTACACAATGAGGTCAGCTTGGGTGGCCTTTTCCTAAACCATTAGAAGAAATTGCTCTTCCTTTGGTGGTTTGACTTCCTTTTTCCATCAGTTGATGCATGTCTATGTAACGAAACTTACAATCAGACCTCTGCCGGCATATATAATGTTTTTGTGGGAAAACAAGACCTTCCAAATCTTAAATGTTTTTGGAAGATTTCTATTTTGAAAAGGGAAGTGACAGTGTACAGTGGTACAGTGGACTGGTGCAGTGACTAAGTCAGATGCCCCCTGCGCTGAGTGGCCAGAGATTAATGCCACTGGGCTCGCCTGCGAGGCCGGAAACGTTAAGCTGTGCTCAGTGCCTTGCAGACGCTGCTGTGCCCGAAAACCTCACATTAGCACATACTCACATTAATAGCCGAGTATTTGGCGAATTACTCAGATATCCTCACACTAGCTTAGTATTCCTGTAATGTGCCGGAAATAGCACTCTCCAGTTTCAGGCACGTGGATGAAGCTGTTGGTTGTGCACGCAGACTGACCATCAATGCGGAGTGTCCAATGAGACTGAGGGACTTCCCAATGGATGGCCATGTCTGCCCTCTCAAATTTGGCAGCTGTAAGCAGGCCTTTCTTACATTCAGGCTACTTTAGCCAGGTACCTAATGACTAATCCCTGACGTGACAATGTCTGTCTCAAAACGCAGATGGCTATGCAAACACCGAGGTCGTTTACACCTGGATGAAGGGGCCGCTCTCATTGGATGTACCCAAAGAGTCATCAAGCTTGCTGCAGTATGACTTGGTGGGACAAACATTATCCAATGAAACTCTGAGGCTGAACACAGGTCAGCGCAAAGGTCATGGCGCAAATACCAGAAGTGTTCTGTTCTTTTGCACCATTGATGTGGTATAATATGTCACAGCCGTGGTATTTAAAAATTTCTTTTTCCTGCCTTATCTTGCTCTCCATGACACACAGAAACATTTACAGGTGAGAGTTTAGCAGTGAGGGGCAGCCACCTGCAGCAGCATCCATAGAGCTGGGGGTTAAGGGCCTTACTCAAGGGTCCAGAGATGCAACTATTCTTTTGAAGTTAGGACTTGAACCAGCAACCTTCTGCTCACAGGCACAGAGGCTTATCCCACTGAGCCGCACGCTCCCCCTACTCAGATGTTAAATACAAAGCATATTAACTGGGGACATGTCTAACCTCGACTTCACAGCTATTTACTATAACCTCAGTGATGTCACAGAAACTGACTCTGACCTCACTACAGAACAAAAGTGATTCACCCACCTCCCTCTGCATATGCAGCCCCCTTATAAATGTGTCTGAGTAAATGTGATTCATTTTGAAAGCAGCACATTTAAGCACACTGTGCTCGATTTAGAAGTGCTGTGGCTCCCAGCAGACGGAGTGCGTGCCGCGCTCACCGAGTCGCCGCTCTTAATTATATTTGCTGAAGTACTTATGATTCAGAGAGCAAGCTACCTCAGCACGACTCGCATGTCACTCCAGTGATAACAAAAATGGATCCGTCGGCGATGGCAGGACCCTGGACTGGGCAGCTCTGATGCTGAGCTTTTTCATGTTGTTGGACATTATAATTTTAGACACAAGAAACAAAAAGAGAACATGTACAAGCACAGTGTTCAGTGGACAGAAGATGGATGGATGGATGGATGGATAGATGGATGGATGGATGGATGGATGGATGGATGGATGATTTTCATTATAAATATAACACATCAAAATAAGTCAACACAGCTATAGAACAAACTTTTCTTCCCAAAGAGGTTGATATTTACTTAGTACTCTGAATTCACCAGCACTCTCATCTTGTCTCCTTTATTAAATAACAGTGTTGGCCCCCTTACATTGAGCTAATTGTATGACTCACCTAAGAAATTTCTATCTAATTCCCTTGAAATAGTGTGAAATCTTTTTACACATATCTGGGCCTTTGTTGTTATTCTAAATCTACCATGTTCCTCTGATACAGATTCCTTACACAATATGTATTTTTTCTGAACTGTCCAAGTGAAGATTACTTTCTGAGTAGCCCTGGCATTTTTAGAAGCCGACACACACTTGCAGTTGCTTTTTCCATTTACCAATTTCTTCTTCTTCTAGGCGAATACTCTGTGCAAGTAATCTATTTCATGCTGGAGAGGAAACTGGGATACTACCTCATTCAGACATACATACCGCTGATCATGACTGTTGTGATGTCACAAGTTGTGTTCTGGATCAACAAAGAGTCCGTCCCGGCGCGAACCACGGCTGGTAGGCCACCTCCTGCTTCTCCGTCTGTCCCCATTTTGAACTGAAGGGTTGGTGCCACAGAACGTAGGCGCAGATACCAAAAGACTGCATGCGCAGGAGCTCCAGAAGTCGCATGTGTTTAGCTGGTTAGTTTGTTGTCTTACAGTATTTCTCAGGAAAGTTCCTCTCCAGTAAAAGAGGGACACCGACTCTTAGGCTGTTGTGTTTACGCCTCTGACGAGCTTCTATGAATAACAATAAAAAATTTAAAACAAATCGCATGTAACTGCAAGATGTTCTGTGAGGTTCCTGCAAAAAAAAAAATATATTTTTATCATCTGTGGTGTGTTTTGGCGCCTGCCCAGGGTTGGTTCCCGCCCGCACCCATTGTTCCCAGGATAGGCTCCAGGCCCCCTGTGACCCCAGTGGGGATTAAGCGGTTACGATAATGGATGGATGGATTTTTATCATTTTCCATTATTATTTGATGCTACTTTGTGCATGTCAGGCATCTTCATTATGTGGTTAAGCTCCCAGCAGTCCAGTATATAAAAGCTTGATTTACAAATTTCTAAAGAAATGCCCCACCCACTATGACAAAAGCAAGTATAAATTTTCCTCCCTTTTAACATTTTATATTAAGCAGCTCATTTTCCTCTAAATGGGTCTGACATTTGTCACTAATAAATATTCAAAGGCCACTTATGCACAATGCTTAATTGGGTACTTAGAAAACTCACTCAATTACCAGAATTTCATGTGTAGAGATAAGATTTTGTTTATGCTGTTGTCTTGCATTGTAGATATGGAAATCCTTCTGGAAGGACTGAATTTATACCCTGTAACAATACAGTGCTGTGTGTAATCCATACTCTGTGCAAGACATTGCTCTTTCTCGCTACTTTATGTCTGTTCAGTAGAAATGACTGAGCTGAATGTCCATTGTCACTCTCTGAATGTCCATTGTCTCTCTCTGAATGTCCATTGTCTGTCTCTGAATGT